GCAAGTGAATGGTGGCCTGGGGGGCCACCCAAGCCATTTGGGAAAGCCCAGCACATGTGCCTTATGCTCGCTGGCCCTCACTGCCCGTCTCCCTGCTCCTGGGTGCCCAGGCCGTGGGCAGATGCAGCACTTGCATGTCTTAGCTTGCAGGAGAATGCCATTGGAGATGAGGGAATGGCTGCCCTCTCTGGTGCGCTGAAGGTCAACACAACCCTGGCAGATCTCCAGTGAGTATCCAGGCTGCAGCGGCACCCTGGCATTGCAGTCTGTCTAATTAGCTTCTGTAATTAGCACACCATGGCCATCTCACAACATGTGCTGAAGGGTCCTTGTTCTCTTGTAGCCTGCAGGTGGCTTCAGTTGGCGCGGTTGGTGCCCAAGCCCTGGCAGAAGCCTTGGCGGTCAACAAGAGCCTGCAGATCCTGGAGTAAGTGCTTGGTGGAGTGACCAAGTCCCCATGGCTGTGACACTGCTCCCTGGGGGTGTCCAAGATGCTGGTCCTTAGCTCAGCACTGCTTCCACCCTTGCATTGTGTCCTACCAGACTTGGCTTGCCTGTCTCTTGACTTGCTGTTGTGGGGCCACCTCTCCCACCTCCTCCTCTTGCCCATGGACAGCATGGAGCCATCCCAGGCTGTCCTTCCTCACCATCTGCCTTTCTCCACAGCTTGCGGGGAAACTCCATTGGTGTGGCAGGGGCCAAGGCGATGGCCAACGCGCTGAAGGTGAACCGCAGCCTCCGCCGGCTCAAGTAAGTAGCCTGCTCCCTGGGGCGGGAACCAAAAAGAGCCTTTCCAGACCTCCCTTGGAGGGAGCAGCAAGGGGATGGCCAGGCCAACAGCTCTCAGTGGGGCAAACCCCTGAGCTGGTGGCTTTTCCCAACACCCGTGCACGTAGCATGCATTCCCTCCTGGTGGTGACATCTCCATGGCTGGTGCTTTCTGACCCTCCCGCCTCCCGCAGCCTGCAGGAAAACTCCCTGGGCATGGACGGAGCCATCTGCATCGCCACCGCTCTGAAGGGCAACCATGGCCTCACCTATGTGAAGTAAGTGTCTGCTGAGCTGGATGGTAAGGCAGGGATGGGGGAGACCATGGGAACCGTCAAGGGACCTTCCCCACCACTGGCACTGCCCATTCCCAGCTGCTCCACAGGGACCTCCCCAATGGGACAGGGGGCAAGGGCGTGACAGCCATCATCCCCGCACAGCTCCAGACCCCACAGCTCCTCTCTGGGGCTGCCTCTGGGACAAAGAACCACCCCAAAAGCCAAATACTCTCCAAAATATCACAGGGACAGGCTGGCTCAGCCCCTCCAGCTCCGCAGGGGCTTTCTCCAGCTTCTCACCTGGCTGCCTCTGGGCTCTCAAACCCAGAGCCCCCTGTGACTGGGGTCCCAGCAAGAGATCCTGGGTGGTTTTGGGAGGGTGCAGATGATGCTGGATGTTGGTGCAAGGCTGGAGACCACCTCTCATACCCACCAAAGATCCTGCTCTGCCTCATGTCCAAGTCTGAACTCGCTCTTCTCTTTGCCCCCAGCCTGCAGGGGAACCGCATCGGCCAGTCAGGAGCCAAGATGATCTCTGATGCTATCCGGACAAACTCACCCAACTGTGTCGTGGATGTGTGAGGGTGACTGGCCACAGCAAGGATGTGGCCTGGTGGCTCCCTTTGGCCAGCATGCCTCCGCAGGGAGCTGCTCGGCCCTCCGCCCACCCGTCTCAGGGAGGAGAGCTGGGGCAAGGAAAGCTCTGAGCTCCCTGGCACAGCCCAGGAGGACCCGGGGCCTCCAGATTGGCAGTGCAGGAGGGTCGACTCGCTAGTGTTGAAAGCTGAGAGATGTGCAACCATGTCCCTGTTCTTCCAGGCCCTGGGGGAGCTTCAAAGAACAGGAGAAATGCAAACAGGAGGGAGGAGGAGGCAGATCCCACATACCAGCCCTTCTTGTTTTCACGGGTGACTTACGTGCTGCTGCTGGTGGCAGCGACCCCCCTCCTGTGATCTCCACGGGGTTGCAGCACTGTGCTCAGACCCTGCCCCAGACTGGGTGCATCCTGGCCGCCCTGGAGCTCTGCTCTCATCCCAGCCCAAGTCGCTGCAGGCAAAAGTTGTGGCACCCCAGCCGGGGCTCCAGGGCCCTGCTCCCAGCACCAGCTCTTCTCCCTCTAGTTCCGGCTGGGATCCCAGGAGAAGCGGGTGAAACATGGGCAGGATTCACAGCAGCCCCTTCTCACCTGGCTACATACAGCTCAGTCCTGCAGGCTCCCCTTGACATCCCAGAGAGACACGAGAGGTTTGCCCTCTCCTTGCTCAGTTGAGAGTGGTGCTGTGGACCTGGGCACTTCAGAGCAGGGTCCTAGGCAGCGAGTGCAACCTTTGTGTTTGCCATGCCCTCAATAACAGGTTGGTGCTGGCTGAGCATGACTGAAACGTTTGTTAGTGCCATTCTCTGTCAAAGCCTCTTCTAAGAGACAGGCACCCCAAGGTGTAGGAGTGGAACCATCTAGAAAGACCTTAGGAAATAGAGCTCTCAGGATAATGGGAGGAGGAGCAGGAGGGTGCACGTAAGAGGAATAGCACTGCATGAGGATGGGCCATCTTCAGCACACACGTTTTGGTGCTACACTGGGATTTCCTTATCATGAAGTCCTGCCTCTTGAGTTTAGGCTGGACTTCTTGGCTCTCCTGCTGTTGTCATTGGTGACAAGCTGTGTGACCTTGGGATGTGTCTTCGGGAGGTCCCAGCTGTGGGCAGGGTCCTCCCCTAGCAGGTCACCTTTTGGGCAGGCAGCTGCTGAAAGCAGAGGTGCCAAGTGATGCCCTCGTGTGCGTGACTCTCTAGAAGGTGCCAGGTTTGCAGGTGGACCAGTAGGCAAACCATGCAACCCCCCCCGAGTCCCCCTCCAGCCACTGCCCCCTCTCCCCACTCCACCTCAGCCAGAGCCTACGCTGAGCCACGCTGCTGCTGCAGCCAGGGCAGTGAGCGACTTCAGGGACCTCTGTGGGCTGATCCTGGAGAAATGCTGGGCTGAGCTGTGTGATATGTACATAGTTGGAAATAAACTGGTTTCGAGCTGAGAAGATGCCTTGTGCTGCCTTCCCCTCTTGCTTGTGGATCATTACATGTGACATTCAGGGTGCACTGTGCTCCATTGCCCTGGCTGGAGACCCCACACCTTGTACTGGTGTGACAACAGGGCTCAGGGTTTTTCCATGAGGTGTCAGGGGCTGGCATGTGCTCTCCAGCAGGGTACAGTGATGCTGAGTGATTTAAGTCCTACCTCCTTCATCGTTATTCCCGGGCAGACTGAGGCTCGGTCCAGCTCTGCCCAAAGCCTGTGCCTAACCCTGAGCTGAAATGTTACCTGAAACACCAATGGAGTGAACGATCACCTGCTCCAAGACAGCTCCCGTGCCCTGGAGCTCCATGAAACAGGGGGTTAACAACAATTTGAAATATATTTAATCGATCTGTCCACATATGCACATACCTAGCTATACACAAATGCTTCTGAGGTGAAAGCGTCAAGTGCTTAGAGCGTGCACTTCCACTGGCCCCGGGGGCGGCTGCTAGCAGCACTGCTGTTCAAGCCTGGTACAGGAAGCTGCAATGCAAAGCATGGCTACCCTGAAACCTGGCCACTGCGCTGAAAGGCTAGGTGGTAGTGCTGCCTGAAGAGGCTCTGGTTCTGTGTGCGCAAGGTATTAAGTCAGCTTTCCATTTCAGCCTACAATATAGGAAACAACACAGAAAACTCTAAAACTGCAGCCCAGACTTGGAGACTGGGTCCAATCTCATGGGAAATCTCTCTCACGAGTCGGATATACCTCAGCACGCAAGGGAGGACGAGAACAGATTTGCTGTGTAACATGGAAAAATGTTTTCAGAACAGGTCCTAAAATCAAGACATTCTCATCCCTTGGGAGAGGGATGTGGTGAGCACACACGCTTTCTCACTGGCTGTCACAGGACCACCCTGCTGGCTTTGCAGCAGGTGTCTAGCACTAAGAACACCATCTTCCCTGTCTGCTTTCTTTGAAGTGAGGTGCAAAATGCCAATTAACTTTGCAGCGTGCAAAGACGTATCCTAACTGTCAGCCGGTTCAGCTCAAGCCTGTACAATCGTGTGCATTTCAGCACATCGCTGCACCCACATATGTCCTGTTACTACACAAAAACTGCCCTGTATTCACCTGTAAGCTTTTGTCCACCTTGACGTGACATTCCAAGCTCTGAGCTCTGCTGATGGGGAACTGTGTTGGGTGCGAAGGTTCCACCCTTGGGGCTAGAGACATGGAGAGATGAAAAAGCTCTTGGTTTTTCAAGTAACTCACGTGTTATCCTTCCTTCAGCACAATAATGGAGGGGTTGGACCTGACTCTAGACTTCAGATGGGGGGGAAAGCAAGGTACTTTGCTGATGTAAAAAAAGGGAAGGGCAGGAAAACAGCCTGGGCTCTTGTCTGCCCTGATGAACACACACCAAAATGAACTCTTCTAATCAAGCACTGATTTCTGCTCCCATGAAGACAAATTGTGACACTAAAGCAGAGCTAAAAGAAAAGAGGTAACACCCTAGACAAACTCCAGCTTTTGCGTTCACCTGAATACACTTTCACTGATGGCATCAGTATAACTTGCTGAACAAAAGCCCAACTTTTGGCCCATTTGAGCGCCTAAATCTCAGTCTGCCCCAGAAGTACCAGTATAATTAAAGGGCTAATTTCATATGGATTTAGTTACAGTGCTGTCTCGCATGGCTGCTCTCAGAACACTCCAGCACAGCCCACTGAAGTTTGAGAACAATTCCCACTGACACAGCTGAAGTACTAAGAGATGCTGCACTGAAGGTGGTATTTGAGGACCCCTTTGCTAGTTTCCCACTCCCTTAGTGCAACTGGTGCTGCTTTTTGTGGAGGCAAGGCCTTGATTAAGTAAAGGATATGTTTAGGATAAATAGATTTAAGCCAGATTTAACATCAATTTAAGTGTGTTCCCAGAGCAGCTTTTCATCCAGTTTTATTAAGCCAAAAAAATCTGTTTGGACATAATAAAATGCGGGAAAATCAAGCACACGATGCTCACTGGAGTGCAACTTTTGGCACTGCAGTGCATGAAGGCCAGTTCTAATGCAATTATGGAAATAATTGCACTCCACATTACTGTGATTCTCATTACGGATAAACTGCTCAGGCTTTGAGACTGGTAATCCAAGTTTCATTTTCAAGTTTAATGAACATAATTTACCAACTCCTGAATTCATGCTGACAAGTGCTTTTCAAATGGCAGGATATTAGTTCCTGGCCTGCATGCTCTCCAACGTTTGTATTTCCAGATGCCTCCTAGTCCTGCTACTAAAGGGTTAGAAGTCATTATCACTTTCCTCTAGTGGCTCTGGCTTCCTTGCTCGGTGACTGGATTTGCTCAGGGAGATTTCCATGCTGTCATCTTCCATATCATCCTCCTCCTCATCTTCATCTTCATCCAGGTCAATCTCACTATCCCCTGAGTCCTCCTGCAGGAAAGCAAACAGAATTCACGACTAGTTCAGTTCTCAGATGGCAAGGCATTTTTGCCAGCTCAAAAGCAGAGGACAGTATTGCTGGCTGACATTACATCGCTTCCTCCCCTGGACTCTGCAATCACACACCTGGGGGCTATGGGGAAGGCTGTTTGTCTGGACTGGTATGCATCCAGATTTGGACTTGCTCTGAGGAGCAGCAGCAGATTCTGCAAGAGGTTTTGTTCCAGCTCGGGCTGCTGGCCTTCCAAAATAATGAAAAACCAGAGCTCAGCTGCCTCTGGGAGCTAATGGCTCACATGGCTTTCACCAGCAGCTCCCCACTTTGCTAGACAGTGGCTGCTCCATTCAATTTATTGCAAACCTTCTTTCCCACTTCATGGGGCTGACAAAAACAAACTCCCTGAGTTCTGCTGAATCTGTGGTATTAAAAACCTTGCAGGGTGTTTAACTTTGAAGTGATACCTATTGCGAGACCAAAGAATCAAGGCATAGTGGAAGAAAATTAACTGCATGAGAGAAACCCACCTGTGCCTTGGTGATGATCTTGTGTGTGCCTGGCCATGCTGGGGCAGATCTCCCCTTGGAGAACCAGAGTGGAAAGAACAGGAAAGGCAGAGCAGGGAAAAAAAAAAAAAAAGTACAAGAACATAAAAGAAAACAGAAAGTAACCAGAATGGGAGCAGGGGAGAAGGCAGCAAAGTTAGGTACAGCTCAGGTATCATGTGCCACACAAGCAAGTGACAGAGGCTGGGCATACAGCTGCTGGCTCTTGGGCAGGCTGGAGCCTCCTCTGTTCTCAACTCCATAACACGATTAACTCTTTGAGGGGTTCAAACAAGCCTCATTAGTTTCCTTCCCTGATCTCAGACACATAGATGCCTGCAAGGGTCCCTAAGCAAGACTCTCAGCCCTGGTGCCTGCTGAGAGGCTGTATTAAGAGGGGAGAGCCATGAAACAACTGAAGCAGATGCAGCTGAAGGCACTAAGAGGCTGAAGGCCTTGGCTTTCCACACCTGGATACACTGGGGCTGTGCCAATGGGGAGGGAGGGGAGAAAGCTGTGAACAGGAAAGTCCAAAGGAAGGAGAAATTGCAGAGAAAAAATATCCAAACCTGGCAAGAACATGGTCAAGGACAATCTGGCAGCACTGCGACTAAGGTCGCAACATCTTCACCTACAGCACTGGCAGTCCTGACCCTACTCAGAAATGTTTCTGAATGCCAATGGCACAAATCATTCCCCAGAAGGCAAGAAACAGCCTTAACAGCATCCAATCTGGCTGAAGCAAACATCAGAGCATGGTCTGCAAGCTCCTTTCCAGAGAAAAGGTGAGGATGGGCAGAAAGAAGGGCAGCTCATCCCTCTCCAGCAAGAGACTTAACTCCCTTACGGCTATAGTGCCTCCAGGTCTCTGCAATGAACACTTAATAGCAGTGGTATCTTCTCTCTTCTGACCCTGCCTGCCGAAGAAATAGTCTGCCCAGAGCTCTGCATGGCTAACCTGGCAGTGTCAGACAGCCATGGCAAAGGGCTTTTGTATGTGGCGGTGAACATCGGGAGTTTCCTACCATTCTTATGTCCTGTAGAGGTGGATTTTCCCGCCTGCTTCCCCCCTGTTTTAAACCTTCTCCTGGGGACCCTGGCGTAATGCTAGCTCCATTAATCTCTGCTTCCTGATCCAATCCTCTGCTTTGCTGATCCCCCAGGTTCTGGTGTCTGTAATGGGCTTTTGTGAAGGGATTTCTGAAAAGTGAATTCTGTGTTTCAGAGAGCCTTAATTTCTATGCCACGAAGGCAGCAAAAGGCAGGGCAGTACTGAGATAGATGATCCCCCAGCAGCACAGGGTTTCTTGCTGGGCCCAGAGAGGATGTCTGAACTCCTAGCATGCCCTCTTCATCTAGCCAGGCAGCACTGGGTGGGGTGTCTGCTGGACAGTGAGACAGAAAGGCTACATCTACACTAGGAAATTAACAGACAGCACAGGTTCAAACACAAATTCACAGCTGTTGTAGTTTTTAAGTGTTTGTACTATTTCCCAGCACAGTTTTGGCCTGTGCAAACTAGCACTCTCCAAAACAATATTCCAGCAACACATGGGGAACAGGACAGCCCCACTGCTCCTGGTTGGCAGGTAGGATGCCAGCACCTTTTTGGGATGGTGGGGAGAACTTGCTGTATGGATGCACACCATATCACAGCAGCTGTCTTCAGCTTCCTAGTACAGATGTAGCCACTTAAGAGTGCCCAGAGGCATAGAAAGATTGCCCACATATGCCAAAGGCTGAGCACAGCAGTCAGAGTAAGTGCCTGCTGTACAAGCCTGTGTGTACCTATTTAGCCACTGTCTGCTCACCAGCTCAACCACAGCCAGATGCAAAGCCAGTAGCCATGGGACAGCTTCATCTGCAAGGCAGGGATCCCAAGGGACACAGCTCACAGTTCCGCGCTCATCGCTGTCCCATCATCTGGAGGACTGAAGGACTGATGCTGTTAGTACAGACCACTGAGAGGGCTCCAAGAAATGTGTTTTTAGAACATAGGGGATTTAGATCTATGCATCTAACTCCTGCTACACTGCACTGATCCCCTCTTCCCAGCAATCTGCCCCAACAGCTTAACGAAACAGCATTCCTGCAGCCCATGTGCCACTAGTTATGCACTGAAGGCTGAGGCTAAAGCACAGGACAGTGCACAGAGACTCCAAGAGCAAAAGAAAAATAGGAAAATATGTGTCTATGCAGATGAGAGAGCAGTCAGCTGGAGGAAAGGAGGGGAAAAGCAGACCTGGGGTAGAAGATTCAGCAGATAAAAAGGTGTTTGTTTAGCTGGGGAGAGGGCTGTCATTCTAAATCACTGCCAGAGAAGCTCTACAGGCACATGGGATGGTTACTTACATCTTCCTCCGTGTCTCCACCTTGCATTGTCCCCACGATCCGTGCACCAGCTCTTCCTGCAAGAGCAAAGAGAATCACCATAAAGCCTGGTTCATGGTTAACACTGAGGGAGAATGGAAGATAAAGTTCAGAGTTTACATTTTAGAGGACCAGTCAAATGGCAGTGAGAGGATGAGATCCCAATGCATGTAAGGTCACCACCCCCTTGTTAAGCCTCAGAGCTCAGGAGAAGATAGAAGAGGGTAAGGTTGATGGTAATTCCAGTCAGGATGGTATTTCCAGAGCTACCTTATGCCAGTATGATAGTTCTGATAGGACAAGAAGCAATGGACACATTAAGAAACAGGAAATTATATCTGAACACAAGAAACCACTTTTTTTTTTTACTGTGAGGGTGGTCAAACACTGGAAGAAGGTTGCCAAGAGAACTTGTGGAGTCTCCATCCATGGAGATATTCAAAACCCAACTGGATGTGGTCCTGGACAACCTGCGCAAACCTCCTGTTTGAGCAGAAGGGTTGGACTAGGTGATCTTGAGAGGTCCCTTCCAACCTAAACAATTCCGTGACTTGGCATATTCCTTCCTCTGCTTTGGTACACAGAGAACAATAGTCTGTCTTTTCCATGTGGTAAGCCTTCTGTCCTTTAGAGAACTCACTATGCTCAGATCCTTTCTGATATTCCCATAGGGATTGACATCTTAACGGAATCCTAGGGAGTGCCAAGGCAAACATCAAGAATTTCTTGTTGAGAGTTGGATGTGTAAGCCTGCAGAGGGAGGTGGAGATCTCAGGGCTGTAGGGAGTTCACTGAAAAGGGAGAACACACTTACACCTTGCTTTGTTACTTTTGGTTATGTAGAGGATGTATGAAATGGGGAAGATGCTAGCGTGGTCTCCTTTGCTAGGAAGGGAGTCGGAAGGTGTTGGGAATGGGTATAGCAGAGTTGTGACTGAGGAAATTCTGCATGTGGGCTGACTGGGTGACTCAGCCCTGCTTCCTGCAGCCACCAGAAGTCACTCAGCACTAACCGGATGACTATTTAACAGTCCTGCTGTGACCACTACATTTCACCATCTGTTTATCTCCTGTCATCACTAGTTTTCTCTATGCCAAATATGGATTTTTCCAATCTAGACAAAATCTGCTTACATTTGGAGCAAGACGAGACTCAGGAACTGCCCAGACTTTGATTCCCACATCGTTTAAGCCAGAAGCACCTCTTTGAACTAGCGACTGTGGGATCAGCAGCATTAGGTCCTGTAGCACAAGCCTGAGACATGCACAGGAGACACCCCAGGATGCAGAGGGCCTGGAGCTTCAGGTTGTGCACTATGCTGTAGACTAAACAGGAGAGAAAGCAGATTTTCCACACCGGTGGAAGAGCTTCCATGACAAAGGCAGGAGCATTATTTTAACTTTCAGATGGTAAACCCCCGAGTTTGTGTGTGGGAGCAAGAGAAGTGAAAGATGGCTGCGGTGCATTTCTATGTGTACTGGGAGGGAGGCAGGAAACAGAGTCGTTTGCACAGGACAGGGAGAGCTGGCAGGTATGGGGGTGTTTGTCACTTGAAATTTCCTGGGTTCAATTTAGCTGGGCTCAGCTTGCTGCAGCATGAGTGCTGCACCACTCTAGCCACAGAGGCTCATGCAGCTTCTAAGCGGGTGAGAGCCCTTTATATTTACTTACAGATAATGTGAATTCAGCCGGGACAGGCTGTACAAAGTGATAATTAGGTAAAATGTTAGTAATGAACAGACTGTAATTCACTGCACCTTTGGATTAAAATCTAATCTCTGTGCATTGCCACGGTTTACAGCCACTGAGGTATCAAAGATCAGAAATGAACATGCATCTACGATTTTAAGCCTGTGAGCATTTGCCATTTTTCCTCTGCGTGTGATGGCTTGCCATTGTACTAACCTGTGCAGCTGTCTACAATGGATCCACAGGACTAGAATGATTTACGTCTTCTTACCCAGCAGTGGGTATATGTTAATCCTGTGCCTGACAGCAAGAAGCGATGCTTAACCTGAGAGGTTAGGACAACCTACCATGAGGGGAAGGCAGATTGCAGCTGAAACATCTTGCTCCCAGTTTGGAGATCTGCATTCAGTCTCCAGCTCTTAATGCAAATTCACAGCATGACCTCAGATAAGACACCTCCAATCCCTCCACATCACCTCCACATACAGAAAATTGGGATAAATATTTTGCCTGACCTTTCTGATCTGTGTGCCCTTTGGGCACTGTATTCTTAAGTGTGAGTGTAGCCTTTACCACAAGGCTCTGATCTCAACAGCATTTTCTAGGCATTGTCAAAGTACAATGATTAATTAAGCACACTACAGCTGCTGCCCAGCATGAGCATACTGCTATTTATTTCTTACACCCTCCATGAAAAGGAAATTTGCTCAGAAGTGTGTCACCTGTCTCAATCCCACCATTTCAGATCTACAACCTCTTCTCCTTTTCCACTAGGTCCAGGGTCACAATGGCCATAATACAGGCTGAAAGTGTACAGAAACACCTCCTTCCCTCCCAGGGAGCACTTAACTTTGCTGACACAAAACATGTATGCCATGCATACAAAGCCTCAGTCAGGATAAAATTGCACTTCGTGAAGTTCACAAGGAAGGAATTTATTTTTAAAAGTTTACGGAGAGCAATACCAGTTTGGTAGGGTCCTCTGAGGTGCTCAGAGGATGCATTTGTGAAATTTTTCCCCTTGACTTCGTACATTATGAAACATCTGGAGAACTTGAATCCTGCTAATGCACAGCCAAATACCTTCCTGCTAGACCCGTTCTTTATGCCTCAGCCTTCTCTCTCTGCCACCACCACGGTACACGTGAAATCCAGACCCACTCACCTCCTCACAGACATTGAATCAAGGCAAACACATGAAACAGGATGCCTGCAAACACCAGGGATCATGAAGAATCATCAGGAAAAAAGCAGCCTGGCCAGGTCAGAGAAGATTTTTGTTTCTGTTGCTCTGTACTTCTTGTTAACTGCCAAGAAATCAGGTGGGGATTTTCAAAGAAGCTCTGGTGTTAGGGAAAATAATCACAAATCCCACACGGAAAGGAAAGGTAAGAAGAGTTCAGTGCCCAGCAGAGCCTGTGTCAAGGCTGCTGTTCATACCTGACTCACCTCTGCCCACCTGACGCCACATCAGGTCTATAGCTCTCCTTTCCGTGCAGACATCCGAATCTATTTTGGCCTCTGAATGCATGAGATGTAGAGTATCTGCAAGCCCCATGTGAACTCAGATTCCTGGTATTTTTGAGACTCAAGCCTTGCCAGCTGGAGCTGCTGGAACATCATGAGGACACTGACAGTTTCTTGAGTCTGTGGCTGAAGTTTGCATGTGCAACAACACTCTTGGCAAATCCTCCCTAGTGGCACTTCAGTTATCAAGTGTGGCATGACTCTGAACAAGACATTTTCTTCTGTTTTTATTGCAGAAACCCACGCTTCAGGTACTCTGGCTGCAGCAGTGGGGGGACCCTGATCACTGTTTCTTAAGGGTTTCTGAACAGACTGATTGAGGGGAATGACCTGGGAACAGTAAAGAGGGAGACCACATCCTGCACTAAGCTGCATACCAGTAAGAAGGAGCTGTCCCTATGGATGAAGCTGAGAGATCAGGGATGTGATCACACAGCATTTGAATGATGCCTAGACAACTGCAATGGGCTTCAGCATGTTTTTCTTATCAAGATTCATTTCTACAACAGAGAAGAATGCAACATTTTGAGAAAACCTGCAGATTTGTTATCATCTTGTATTTGTAAAGAGAAATGCACTTGCATATGTTTCTGGTCTTGGACTCAGAGATTAAATTTCCTTTAGGAACCAGAGAGAAGGGAAGAAATAGACTAGTTATTTAACACGTGTTTTTAAAAATTAGGCAGGTGACAGCCACAGGAACTCAATGTGAACAAGACATCCAACAAGGAGCAGGCAGCTGTTGCATATTCCTAATTGAATCCCTCCACTCTCCCGCATATTGATGGCACACCTGTGGTTTCTACACACCTGAGGAGGTTAGAGGGAAGGAAAACATTCTAGAAATTCAGTAGCAGAAATATGAACGTGGGCACAAGCTGGAGAATTTCCACAAGTGGAGTCTGACCATTTCCACAGAGAACAGGACTTCTCTATTTTTCAGCTTGCATGCTCTATGGAGGGATTTGGAAACAGGACTGTGTAGGCTCACCTGAGAACATTTCTTGCTACTATGTCAAAGCTCCCATTCTCCCTACAGGATTGAAAAAACAAGGGCTAATTCAGCCTCTGCAGCCTTCCCCCCCAGCATGCAGGGTACCTTTGGCCCTTTCCCAATGTCTGCTAGGCAGCTCCTACTTAATAATCACACGTTCAAGTTTAAGAAGAAAACCAAGACAGGGAGGCTAAACATCATCATCTCAAAACACTGAGTGTCTGCCACAACAGCATCATCAGCATGCTTCAGATACTTGCTGCTCTGTGTGCGCTGCCTCTGTAAGATGCATCTGTGCAGGACTGGGGATCCCCCCAGGCCTGGCTACAGCACGGGAACTAGGCTGGTGCTGGCAAGCAAGCCCACATCCACTGAGACATGGGACCACGCTCTCGGTCTGCCCCTGAACCCACCTCCGGTTTGATTGTTGCATACTTGGTTCCACTTCCTCCAACAACATACACTTTCCTTTCTTAGTAAAAACCCTTTATTCTCATCTGCTACATTCAGGGACTTATTTGTTCTTGCTATTTTAAACAGTGAAGGCTTTCACAGGCAAAGATTTTATCCATTCAGTAGCAAGTACACTTGCTAACCTGGCTGCCAGCACATCATTACCACATTGATCCTCTGGGTCAGTTCTGCAAAGGTAAGAGGTTCCAAGAGAGCTGCTTTCACACTGTTTGACTTTGGACTGACTGTTTACTGAAAAACATTCAGAATTTTATAAAGCTGTTTTCTTACAATAAAGACCAAATGGGGCTGAAGTTGTTACTGTATCGGTTGTGAAATGGTCTCTGTGGTCCAAATAGGACAAAAATGTCCCTTAACACCAACATCACAGAAAGAAACATAAGAACTAAAGCATTTGGATAATTGGTTTACAGGAGCTGAAAGATCCTGGCAGTGTGGAATAGAGGGTGATTTACTATAGACAGGCACAGTCCCACGGTTCTGCAAGCACGGATCATTTCTGATTCATTCGGTAGCATTTCCACTGCCTACCTTGTTACAAGTACAGTGTGTGCCAGTCTGCCATGGCCTACCCAATCAGCCAGTGCTACTGCTGAGGAGAGATCCTGAACTTGCTGATGATTCCAAAATGCATTTCAGAACTCTGGTCCGAATGACTGGAAAGATGGATCTGCACATGTAGTCACATCACTTCAACATCTGCCACTTTTGATAGCACAGGTGAAAAAAAGTCCACTTTAGTTCAAGGGGAAACTGGAAATGTTCTTATCAAAAAAACATCTACTGAGGGTTATACTAAATTAATGGAAACCACATCCAGCTCAGGAAATCCTGATGGGGGTTAAAACAGTTTGAGAGCAGGAGGGAACCCGAGGGAAGTTCCTATACTCTTCCTCAGGCATTTTCTTTCAGCCAGTACTGGACACAGAAGACCAGGCTAGATGGACCTCGTGCCTGACCTGGCATGGCAGCTTCTACATTCCTAGGACAAGGCCTTGCATTCTTCACCCTGATGTCCATCCTATCTGCATATGAACAACCATCCTGCTGCAAACTACTGGTTTATGGCCTGTTTCAGGCAAGAGTTTTCTCTACACTGAAGATGGTGAAGACCTTCACATTGCAAGAATTTCTTTTTCTTTGGTTCTCTGACAAAGCAAGAGTCTTATTCGAAACACCATCACTAACTGATGGTTTGACCTCAGGGAAGTCCATGCATCTATTTTATTTGTGTAAAGCCTTACTTACCTATTGCCAGGCAGAATAAAAGTGGATATGAATTTTTATTCACATTGACAATGTTCAAATTAAAAGTTACATATGACAAATCAATGTATTCTCTTAGTTACAGAAGCAAATGATTAGTGACACATGGATTATAAGCCCCATCAAGGAGGAGACTTGCCTGTAATTGTGATATTGTGATAACAAACCAGGTTGTAGTTTCACAAACGGTCAGTCTGGTGACTGTCTTTCTAGCCATTTATTTTCACGCCCATGCCTGCTCCCTCCTTGTCCAGAAGCCTTCCTGGCTTCCTAAAGCTGGGTTTGCTGTACTGTTAAATCAGAAACACTGACCTCAATGGAGATACAAGCTCCACAGAGCATTACAGTTTCCTTCTTAACCTGCTACTGCGTATTCCTCCTTGTACATGGGGAATAAGGGTTCAATTTTCTTTCTGTACCACAGGAGCTAGCAGCCTGTCATGTCTCCCCCAGCTAACACTCTTTTCTGCTCCATGGGAGACTAAATCCTACCTTCAAGTCTTTTGATTGGCTGAAAGGATAAAACCAGGAGCAATATTGTCAAAGCTGCATTTAGTTTGAATTTTGCTGTATCTAGACAAACCTGATGGAGGAACTCCTGAGGGTGAAAGTGTTGATTTTTCTCAATTATACCAAGTGGTCTAATAAGAGAGGTTATCTCTCCCTGAGAATCTTGCCTCTATAACGGCAAAACACACTGGAATACCTCTCTACCTATTACAGGCAGAGGGAGGAAGTCTTCTCTTACAGTACTAATAAACTGGAAATTAGAGCTGTAAAACTCAACCACAGCAACTACAGGAACTGGCCACAGTGGACCATTTCTCCTCAGTTTGAGACCAATACGGCTCAGAAGCACCACCGTGTAAGGAGACACAATGCTTCAAAAGAAAGTGATTGAAATCTCTTGAATTGAGTCAAGGAAAAAAGCAGTAATTAATAATGTTCTTGTCATGCTGCCTTAATAATTAAGTACATTTTAAATGCAAACTACTTGTGCTGAAGTACATGTACAGATTCTTGGTGTGTTTAATGACAAATGGCCAGTGAATGTTCAGGCCTGATTTTCTAAAAAAGCTGATGCACCTGACATTAATCTCAAGTCTTGACATGTCTCCAGCACTTCAGTTGGTGAGGGTCACGCAGTCAAACATGTAACCTCACTATTGAGAAGGGTCCTGGACCAAAGGGACCCATTTACACAGAGAGAGAGGTGCAGATCTGAGCCTGTTCTCAAGGCTAGAACTGCTTGTCATGTAAGCACGCACTCTGGATCAGGCTGGAGCTCCCAAAGGAAAGCTTTGGCCTGACTGGTGTCTTAATACAGTTCAAGCTTTTGTTCATGTATTCCAGACAGATAAGAATGGGCAGACCTGAGCAAGCTCACTCTAACATCAGAAGCAGAGGTACTCCAAGGCTGAGGTTTCCTAAACAAAAAGTATAGGCATTTTGAACCAAAGCCAGAGGTATGGACACAGTGCTTGCTCTTAATCTCACAGTGTAGCTACAGCTAGAGCAACTGGGTGACTTGCCCAAGATGATAAGTAACCTCAGCAAAGCAGAAAAGTGAGCCAACAATCCTTCCTTTAAGAGTCTGACAGTGTTTGTATCCATCTCTGCCAGCATATATTGCACTGGACCACTGTAGGACTGAAGTGTTGTGAATTAGAATGGGGGAATAGAAACTTACTCCTTCTGGAGGTCCTGTAGGAAAGGCATCTCAGGAGCCATTTAAAATACCTGGAGCTGCTTCAGTAGTTCACAGCAGGTGAGAGGCAAAAACAGGACAGAGAGCTAAGGGAGGCTTCCAACTTACACAGAGATAAGGAGACTAAAGATTGGGATGGCGACCGTGTAGTCAGCAAACAGCATGCCCAGAGTATACAAAAGTCAGAGGATAATTATCTGCCAGAAGTCATTTATTAAACACTAGGAAGAGACCTACAAAAGCAAAGAAAGCAATCTAAACAGCATGGCAGAGAAAACATCTTGGGGATTTGAACTGCTTGCTTTAAGTCTGACAAGCTAATGCTGAGTCTCCAGTAAGTGTAATTAATGATAACAAAGCTCTTCCTAGAAAAAAATTCTATTTGCAACATAATCTACAACTTTTATAATAAAGCTTTGCACTCCTAAAACTGATATTAAGAGCTGACTCTGGCTGCAGCCAGTACCCATTATCACTAGGTTGTGATGTCCTCTGAGATGAGGCATCACAGTTACGTAGTCACCTTCAAAGCTCTAAAAACTGCATACAAACCCTTCCTTAAGAAACTGCAATGTAAAAATCCCTAGTGGATATTAGCATTTCTAGCACTTATAAAGAATTTTCAAGTTTTATGAAAAACAGAGGAACTGAGGATAAAAATGCTTGAATTATATTGACTTGACAACTCTAGCTTCTAGCTTTGGTCTCAGCCAGAGAGGGGAGAGCAGAATTCAACTCAGAAAAAACACATATTTGCAGTCTATCTAAGTAACAGGTTCCAGCAGAAGTAGTGGCATATGAAATTACCCACACAGGCACTTCATCCAGATCCCAGAGAGGTTTTTGCTGATGGTCAGAATCACTCACTGCTAACAAGAACGCTGAGAACTAACTTGGATTTCCTGGTTTCATTTTGCTTGACTATACACTAAGCAGAACATTTATTTTTCCACCTAAATGAAACACAGACCCTCAGACAGCAATTCCTCTGAGTTGCTTCTGGCCAGGGCTCTAGGGGAATCAGCAGCCAGAGGCTGCAGTTCCACTCCATGTAAATAGTGGCAGAAGCCAGATGTCCTTCCCTGAAAGAAATAACTCACGGGTGATGCACCCATGCCTGTGTCAGTGCAGGTGGCTTTATGGACTCACTAAAGGTCTCCTTTTGAAGAAGAGTCTACTAGAACAAGTGTCAACAGCGAAAGGGAAATAAATGCTTTGCAATGAGAAATAGTATTACTTTTCTAAGGCTTTGTATAAAGCTACTTCAGAACCTGCAAGGCAATACCAAGGAAGGATTTTCCTCACATGGTACTTTTTTCAGTAAATACTCCTTAATTTGCTCCCCTGAAAGCACTGTTTTCTCTATAAGACACTTACAGCTCACAAGAACTGAGCAGTGCCAATGTCCTTGAATGATTACAGCGTTTTCTTACATTTAAGGTTACTCAGCTAACTCCAGCATATCCTTTTGAATAAAGGCAACTAAGGAAAGGTTAAGATACCTTGCAGTAGTGTTTCTGTGGCAGTGCGCTGCTTCATGATCTGCCTTCCGCCCGCTTCACTATCGGATCCTTCATCCTCTTGAATCTCTACGTCAGAATCATCATTATCTGGTTAAAACAAAAGCAGTTGATAAAAATCACTCAAACCAGCCCAAAACTCAGAACAGCAGTTGGACACAAGAGATGCTAGCAGTCTCTGCCTTTGTTCAAGTCCAAGATTAATTAAAATGCAGTCACAGACAGAGCATTGGCTCTACAGGCGAGCACAGGGATATAGGCAATGTCCACATCCTAAGGCAGGCATCCTTCTACACATAAGTGACAAAGAAGCATACAATATAAACAATTGTCTTGGGACGATCCTCAGATTGTACCATAAAGGCACTGTTCTAAATACACTCTCTGGGTATGAAGCATATGTACAGTCAGAAGGTGCTATTTCAGCAACTGATTTAAAGATAAAAATATTTTAAAAGTGTTTGGAAAGTGTGGGCTTATTAATACATCTCCTAGTCTTTTACCCTGACATAAGCAATGTCAAAAATGATCCCCTTAGACTCTGCCTTTCATAGGTTAGAAAAGCACAATGAGACATCCCCAGATAAATGAAAGCAGTTACAGCCAAACCCAAGATAGCTGGAGAGACAGGAAAGCTTCCCAAGATGTAGGAACTTCTTCCAATATTTTCATAATATTCCTTTGTTTTCTTCTTACTATCCGAACTAAAGTGTATTTAGTCCCTTACTGCCGGTTCCCCAGTCACAAACTGGATCAGACCTAAAGGACTTAGATTAAATTGTCCTTCAGATATTTGAAAGGATGACAAAAGTCTTCAGATACTTAAAAGTGCCTGCAAAGAAAAGGGCAGGCTGTTCTCCATGTCAGCTGTACAAGTCCTACCTTGAGGTTCATATGCATGGTCAAACTGATTCTCCTGAGCCTATTCTGAAACAAAACAGTGGGTGGAAAGTTGTTACAGAGTTGTGTGGAAAGTTTCAAGCAGACTCTGCTCCATTTAAGTCTCCTTCTGTCCCATGAGCTTTTTCCCTCTCTCCCTGTTCATGCCAGCCTGTTCGTGCAAGCTCCTTGGCTCACTAAGACCAAGCTCTGCTTTCCAGCTACTGCCCACTTGTGATTATTTACTTCTCTCTTCAAACATTCAATCAATGAGCCAGATCCTCAGCTCCTCTCATCTTATGAACTCTTCTCACTCATGTAGAGATGACACCCTCTACACCAGCTGATCCTACAGCTCAGAGCTGATGCTATGTAGTGGCCTGCCCGCAGGAGCTTATGGAATTAGCAGTGCTATGACAAACCCAACAGGACCCTGTGTGAGGTCAGCACTCAGCGCAGCAACAATAGCTGTTAATTATTTAGAGAAAATAGGCAATTCTTTCCCAGGTACATTTAATTACACACATGTCTGAGCTGAAAATGGAAATAACTACTTTAATTATTATTAGTAATGAGCTGACACATCTTTGCAATATTTAATTATTGGACAATATATAAATATTAGACATTTTTCCATTTTCCATAATCTTTTAAATGCAATATTAAGTTAATGACAAAATATAAGAGCAAGGGATGCTATTTGGTACCCTGGTAAGATTACGAGGCTCCAGCAATGTTAGCTACAGTTTCTATTTGTGTTGCGCTTTCTTTGGCAAGTGAAGGAATCACTCCCTGCTGTGGGACCTGAATACTGTTTCTGTTTACCTCGTGTTCAGGAACATGAGGTTTTCAGCCCTTGCCCAGGCAAACTGCTTGGGAAGACCCACGTGAAGCCTAAATAAAAGATTCAGGTTCATGCTCTGTATGTGAAAGAGCGAGACCATCTCATCTGCAATGGCTCTCACTGCTACTACAAAAATGCCCTTGTTCTTATTTTGTGGGGTTCTTTTTTTTTCTTCCTTCTTTTCTTCTTTTTTTTAGAGCAGCAGTTCTTCCCTTTCAGGTTTTGTCATTTGTGCTCTTCCTGTTACGAAGTGCCACTGGCCAGAGCTGAGGATGCCGCAGAGAGCCCTTATGATTACTTTGCCAAACCACTTCTATTTTGTCCCCATTAGCACTTTCTGCTTCTTGCTGGGATCTCCTGAGCATGAGCTGCCAGATGAGGTGGGGACTAATGGAGCCAGTGCTCTCCGCTGACAACCCAAAGTGGCAAACCCAGCTAACACCATTTTGGGGACAGGATTTACTGCAGAGAGGCACAGAGATGCAATTCTGCTCTGGTTGGGGGCATGACTGTAACAACACGGGGCTTTAATTTTACATTTCACTTTTCTGGAAACACTTTTTTTAAACCTTTTGTGGTAACAGACTTCAGATATATCATATGAAATATATTTCCCTTGAGACAAAGCAGCAGTAAGAAGACAAGAATAAATGGGAATGAATCTGCCATCTTCCTTCTGCTGTACGTAGAAGCGCTCTTTCCAAACTACCCACGCTGATGGCTTAATGCTCTCCTAAACCACGTGAACCGTTCCAGCTCCCTGCAGCACTCCAGCCATTTCTGACCCATTTCAACTTACAGAAAAGAAGCTCATTTCATCATATAATTCCCCACAATATCTTTCTGTTGGAAAGTAGGACTTGCAGGAAGATCCCAAGGTGAGTAAGTGCCTTGCGATAGAAGTGACACCTACTGTGGAGAGAGCATCACTGGCTGGAGGGCCCCAAGCTGCTACTTTATGAAAGGAAATGGTTTAAACACAGCTTTTTTTCCCCCCTCACCCAGCCCTTTTCTTCTTTCCCTCAGGTTCTCTGCTATTCTCAGTCCACCCTTTCTCACCCTATTTCTTTTATCCTTCTCCCCCACTAACTCAGATGATGCAACTCTCGCCTATCAGTGATGAAGTCAGTTTTCTGCTGTTCAGCCCATGTGTGGATGCCACAGAATACCTCTGGCAAGCCCCAGAAAAGCATGCCTTGTGCCCCAGCTCTGCCTCTTGTCTTTCACAGTGTGCTCGACAAGCCAAGACAGTAGCAACTGAATGCCTAGCTTTCATTTACGCTTTTAAAAATCCTGGATTACTTTTCCATATAAATGAAGAGAAGATTAATCAGGTGAATTATCATTATATAAGCACAGTGCATAATTTTTCCTACCAAGTTGTGACTTTGAAACACATCTTGTTATGGATCTATGGCAAGAGTTTGGATTTTCTTTGAACAGCCTAGCTGGAATTCTGATGCACATACCCCAACACGAAGCATCACTGTGCTGCTACAGTGAATGCACGCTGGAGGATAAGAAAAGTGGCAGCTGCAAATGCAAATTCAGCAACAGTAAAATCTGTGCCTCCAAGCCTCCCTCTTACCACTTGGAAAGACATTGAGCGCCTTTTATATTTACAAAAAAATAAATGTATTGCTCTAACCCAGCTCAATGGCTGCTATCACCAAGCCTGGCTCTGTCCAGTATACAATCTGAGTTATCATCAACTGAGCAGAACTGTGCTGGGCCAAAATCCCAAGGACACAGAATCAGAGTATATTGCTGAAAATTTATTTAAATACACAAGATAAAGACAAGCTGAGTACAGGCTGCTTAGCAGGATTAAACGGCAGACTAGTCTAGTGCCATGTGTGACCTACCCTAGTTAGAGCACTACAGGGTTCCCCCATCCTACATCCTTCATTGTACATGCCCAATGTGTCCAGTTTTCAACCAAATATTCTTGGTATTCATAAAAAGGTGACAATTCAGAAAGTTTCATTTAACAACATATAGAAAGAAACTGCTTGTTGCCCTAGGATAAGTCACAACCACATCTGTGTAATACTGCATACCAGAAATTACAGTGCATCAGTTCCAGGGAGACAAGGAACATTCTTTATGGAGAAAACGTAGATTTTTCTTAGTATCAGCATAAAGCAACAAAGATAATAAGGCATACTACTACAAGTTCCCATGTACTAGTAGATGGAGTACAGAACACATTCTAACAGAGCTGGCTTATGAGATTTGCATGGGCTTACATGAAGATTATTTGACTTTTCACAATAAACTGCTATTCAGCAATACACGTGCCCAAATTTAGGCCAACGCTGGCAGCTCACTGGAGCTTAAGGCTGGTATTTTAACAAGCTCCTGTATTTTTACTACAAAAAGGTAATCAACAGAACAACTGTATAAACTGTGTTTGGCCCATTTCCCCACTGCTGTGATTTACTCTACTGCACAGAGAATACTGGCAAAACATCAGACTACCTGAGAGAGTATATATTAGGATTTTAAACTCCACTTGCCTTACATTTCCACATTTCCATTTCATAAAGGTGGGTTTCAGTCAACTAAATTAGTTTCATTTAAAGCAGTCCAGCCACAAAAAGTACATCCTGGTTACAACTGAAAAACACTGCTCTCAGAAGATGCGTTATTTGTTCCAAAGCACACCTACTGTTTCCAGAAAAAGCCAGAGCAGATACCTGCACCGATAATACCATATTTAAATGATTTAATTTTTGGTAATTTGCAACACTTGATGGAAAACCAGCATGATTTAATAACTTACCAGTGATTTCATTACAGATTTGTTAGTTTGCATAAATACTCAAGTAAATGTATCCAACCGTAAAATAAGAAGGTACTGTGGTGAAGATAATGAGCACAAAGGAGACCATTTATTGATATGGTTTAGAATTAGATGTAAGTGTTGTTTATTATGTTCAATTTCATAACAAAAATCACTGCTTTGAAAACACAGGCACTGGCTCCACAGCAATTATTGGATTCAGCAGGATGTTGATTTTGGTGAAAAAACATCATGAGAAAATCAAGTGGGCAACTGACAGCCACTTGCTCCAAAATAAAATCCATCTAATAAATAGCATGAAATTTTAGAACAGGAAAAAAAAAAAAGGGGTGGATTGGGATTTTAATTGGGATTTTAATGTGACCAAAGGGAGAGTGAAGTTCAGTTCCCATTTGAAAGCCTTGGTTCTACCAAACCCATACTCATGTCTCACCAAACTCAGAGACACTAGTTGTGTATTGAATACTTACAGATTTGCAGCTCTGCAATTTGAACAGGAAGAAATGCTTTTGATATATAAATTTAATTTGGGAACATCCTTTGTCCATAGCACAAAACTGA